ATAGTCTGCTTGAGGCAGGTTACCTGTGTCAGATATCAGGGAGGTTGTAATGTGACATAAATCCAATATCTGTCTTCAGTCCATGATTTATTGTATCAGCTAGATTTATGAAGTGAAGTTCATAGGCTCATCTGCGGAAGGTGTTTTGTAAGTTCCCTTTGAGGATTAGAACCAAGAGATTGGAGAGGAAGTGATTGTCTTGTAAGAAGTGGGTACCCACAGGTAATTGCATATTTTTGTCTTTGATGGATTTTCGGAGGGCGTTCATTCTGGTACACACTTGTTATTTGGTTTCTTCTACATATTTTCCATCAGGGCACTTGCTGCACTGGATGAGATGTATCACATTTCTGGAGGTACAGGTGTAAGATCCATGAATGGTAACGGTTCTGTTGTGGGGTTCTGCATTGTGGGAATGGTGGAGATGTGTTGGCAGGTTTTACATTTCTTGTCCTGGCATGGTTTGGATCCAACAGAACCCCAAACCCAAAGAACCTTGCCTGCCTATGTCCTTAGATCAAAAGAGCTACAAGCAAGAGCCCTTCATTTTGATGACTTTTCTAGGTGGATTAATAGCCACACCAAAATGGCACATTTATGGATAGATAGTAAACTAAACAGGTTGCCCTTGGCTTAAATGCTCCATCAAATTAGCTAGAACCAGACGGACGTCCCTGGCAGGCACCATCTCTCTAGCTAGTAGGAAGGAATGGAAAGGCCCTTAAGGAATTTCATCACTGCAGAGCTTGTATGTAACAGTATAACTTTACATCATCTGATTAGAGAGATGACTGCTAGATGCATTTTAACAAAATAAAACAACACCCTGGGTCTCCTAAAAAAAAAAAAAAAAAAAAAAAAAAAAAAGATAGTCTAGGATAGCCAGAGTTAAAGTAGATAGTGGAAGAAGCAGCTGAGTCACCCACACAGAAATTTCTTTCCACTTCACAAAATAAATCAGTCTGTTAAAAGTCTTTCTACTTTGTAAGGAAATAGCTTGTAGGTAAGCAGAGCAATTTCTCTAAAAATGTGTCATTTGGTCAAATCAGGCTTACAGGTGGGTCATGGCCAGCTTGTGTTGCAGCACCTGCCCTGTTCTGGGAGATTAGGTTAAGAAGTGATGGAAGTGTGACCGACTGAGTATCAGAATGGCCAGCCCTAGGCAGGCCAAACAAAATGATTAAGACCAAGACCCTGTCTGAGCTTCCTAGGGATTTCCAACTCTGAGGATTATGGTCTACATACAGAGGAAAGCCTCTGTCAGCCAGCTTGGCTCATACCCCTGCTGAAGTAAAATGCTTGACACTTGTTCTGGAAAGTCATAAATAGTCCCATAGTCAGGATACCCAGGTGTGAAAGACATCAGAAAAAGGAAACAGTTACTGATGGGACCACTGTGGTTCTCTAGGAAGGATCTCGTCAGAGCATTCTGGATACCTGGCAAGTGCAACACTATCAGTGTGATGTCACACTGGAAATTCACCAGTTTGAAAGACACACTGCCTCCTTGCATAACAAAGTGGGGCTTGCTTCTCTTTGTCTGTTGATGTGATGCCTCATCGTGGTATTGCCAATTAGCTTTTGCCTTGTAACACCCTAATTAAGAGGCGAGAAAGCCTAGCAGGCTTGCTGCTTTACCATTAGTTCTAGGACATTTATGGGCACCGTGGTGTGTGGGAAGAGGACAGGCCCTGAATCTTAGTGGCACTGAGATGAGCTCGCCTTCCCAGGTTTAGCCATCTCCTGGTAGGCAGGACAACTGAGAAAGTAACTCCACTGCAAACCTGTAGCAGATCCCTCCACCATCTTAAAGAAGATGGTGTTTTTGAGACAACTGTGTCCAGCTGATCCATGGAGTGCTTGTTGGGCAGGCACACAGATTTCAACCTACCTCTAAAAGGTCACAGGTTAAGTCTGGCATGCCATCTGACATAGGTGTAAGTTGCCATCAGGCCCACAATTTCAAATCATACCATTGCTGATATTCAGAGATGTTCATGAAGCTGGCTGATGGCAGCTATTATACTCAGGAAACAATTACAAAACAGGACTGTTTAACTATTCTGAAGCATAGCAATGTTCTGGGCTGGATGAACTTCATCCCATGGTACTGAAGGAACTGGCAGAGGAAATTTCAAAGCCCTTGGCAATGACTTTCATGAAGCTGTGGGAGATGGGCCAGGTACTAGAGGACTGGAAAAGGGTCAACATAGTACCCCTCTTTAAAAAAGGCAAAAAGGAGGAACCAAGGAACTACAGACCCATTAGCCTCATCTCAATACCAGGAAATTACTGGAGCATATCCTAGAAGGCCATTTGTAAGTGTCTGGAGGAAGAGAGGCTGATCATAAGCAACCAGCATGGATTTATGACAACAAATCATGTCAAACAAACCCAATCTCCTTATTTGACAAAGCAACCACTTAGATGGATGAAGGAAAGCTGTGGATATAGTGTATCTGAACTTCAGCAAGGCTTTTAACAAGGTCCCATGTGGCCTTTTCATAAACAAATTGGAGAAATGTAGGCTGGAAAAAACTACTATAAGGTAGATAGACAACAGGCTCAATAGCTACAAGCAAAGGGTATTTATTAACGAGTCCATGTCAGAACAGCAGGAGGCTTCAAGTGGAGTCCCACATGATTCTGTATTGGGTCTGGTGTTGTTCAGTGTGTTTATTAATTATTTGGATGCTGGCATAGAAAGCTTCTTGAACAAGTTGTAGAGAGCATGACACTGGGAAGGACTGCAAATACATTGGACGGCATGAGCACAATTCAGAAGGATCTCGACAGACTGGAAAGTTGGGCTAGAGCTAACAGGATGAAGTTCAATGTGGACAAATACAAGGTGCTACACCTTGAGACAAATAATCAGAAACACAAATATAAAATGCGTGACACCTGGCTTGATGGCAGCACTATGGAAAATAATTTGGGAATCTTGGTAGATCACAGACTCAATACGAGTCAACAGTGTGATGCAGCCAAGGCAAATGTGGTTTTGGGATGCATCAATAGAAGCATTAGGTGTAAGCCACGGGAGGTGATAGTGCCTCTCTACTTGGCACTGGTTAGGCCTCATCTTGGGTACTGTGTGGAGTTCTGGGCTCCACATTCTAAAAAGGGCATGGAGAAATTAGAGAGGTTCCAGAGGTGGGCAACAAAAATGATCAAGGGCTTGGGAGGCAAGTCATATGAGGAGAGGCTGAAGGAGCTAGGTATGTCCAGCTTGTGGAAAAGGCACTCAAAAGGGGACATGATAGCAGCCTTCAAATACTTGAAGGGCTGCCATAAAAAAGGAAAACACCGTGTCTCCCCTGCTGCAGAGAGAAGGACATGGACCAATGGCTTGAAGTTGGAGCAAAGTAAATTTAGATCGGATATTCAGAAAGACTTCAGAATAGTGAGGTAGTGGAATACACTCCCTAGGGAAGTTGTGGACTCTCCATCACTGGAGGTGTTCAAGAAGAAAATGGACAGCCACTGTTTGGGGATGATCTAGGCGTAGATATGCCTGTGTTCTACTATGGGTATTTCTCATGCTTCTGGGCTTTGCTGGCCCTCCCACCCCCTGCTACATATGTCACGGTGTTTTTAAGCCTTCCTCAGAGGCATTGGGTGTTGGCTGCAGCCAAGGCTGGGGACTTCAACTGGGATATGCCAATGATCCTGCTGGGAGCAAAGACAGAGGTTCCTGGCTTAGAGGGTCTTGCCTCTCCACTTAGGATCAGCCTGAGTGATTACAATATTTGGGGTCAGGAAGGAATTTTACCCCATGGTCAGACTGGTTTTGACTGGGGGGAGGAGAGGGGGAGTTTGCCTTAGCATGGCCCTCTAACCAGGCTCTCTTGAGCATATATTGACGTTTCAAAGAACCAGGATGCTGGCTGCCACGGTTCACCTGCATCACCTTTGGTAGGTTAGGGTGCTAGGTCTGTATTGTGTCAGAGTTGATAGTAGTTTACAAAGAGATTTGATTATGGTTTGTACAGGATGGTTTGGATAAGGATGATCCTGCTTCAGGCAGGGGGTTGGACTATATGACCTCCCTTCTAGCCCTACTACTCTGTTTCTATAAATTCTGTGGACTCACTTCTCTTTACCCTGGGGCCCAAGGATATGAAGACATGAAGAAGCTTTGTAAGTTCTTTTGAAGTTCATCTGTTGTCTAATTCCTAAGCCCTACAAGTGGTCGATTTCAGATTGAGCAGTAAGGGTATCCGTCACTGATTGGTGTAGCTAAATTGCACGATATGTAGTTTTTGAATCAAGATTTAAAGCAAACTGTATTGGGTAGACTATGCTCTCAAGCAAAATCCTTTGCTGCTGTTTCCCCAACTCCAATGAGCAGAAATAAAGAAAAATGGAATAAAACACTAAATAACTAAAATTTCAAGTTAAAAGCGTATTGTCCCAGAGGCAGGAAAGCTATATTGCAGAAAGCACAAACACAAACTTGCATTCTGTCATGCACCTGAAATTGTAGCTGCCTTTCCCTTATACACAGAGCTAAAGGTGCAGGTGTGACTGTAACAGAAATTGCTATTCAAAACAAATCCAATCTCCCACTTAAGGGGTGCATGAGCACCAGGAAAACCACTCGAAGTAGAATATTATTGACACATGTTAGCCTTGCAGGAATATCTTTCTGTGCCTTAAATCATAAAAATACTAATGAAAAAATTGAAAAAAGTCCCTATAATCAAAATCCTCCTGCTTTAAGGAAAACAACAACCTGAAGCAAATTTAAGCTAAACTACTCATGGGAGAGGTTTTCACAACGAAAATGTGGACCTGAATAGGGTCTTCACTTGTAAGTAAAAAAGTTCAAAGAGACTGCCACCACAGTAGCTGTTGCTTGTTCCCTACCTCCACCGTTACACACCACCTGTGCTTTGCCCTTAACTAGCCAATCCCCCGTGACTTGCCTCGCCTCCTATGGCGTAGCCAGCACCAATGGTTAGTTCAGAATCTGCAGAACGCAATCACATGCCTACCTGTGTTCGATCGTTTCTTTGCATTTTTTAGACTTCGGCACCTGCCACTGACAGAGCTGCTGTTCTCGCTCATCGAGTCTTGCGCCGAAGAAGCACTCCCCGTGGCTTCACTGTCTCTCATCATGCTCTCATAACCACTGCTTCCCCCGCTGTGGTAGAACAGGGCTGTTTTGCCCATCGCTGGTGGTAGCTCCCCGCTCAAGACGCTGCTGTTGTCACTCCCATGCCCGCTGCTGCAGCGGTGAGGCTTCCGAGGAGGGGTGATTTTGCTGTAAGGCGAAGGCAGCACGTGAACAGCTGGTTTCTCATCTCCGTGAAGGCCGCCCCGCTCATCTGTGTCCGAGTTGCCACGCAAATGTAAACCTCTGGCACTCGCGCTCCCTTGCAGGAGCTCTGAAATCCGGCCATTGACAGCTCTAAGGGGCAGTTTTGAAGCAAGCCCAGAGCCTCTGTTTCTGCTGAGGGACTGGGTTGACCAAGACATATTTTTCCCACTGGGGGGCAAACTGGAACTCTGCCCCACTGACTGAGGCAGAGACTTGGTAGAAAAGCTTAGCGTTTTTGTGGCAGAGGCAGAAAGGCTTCGGGCCTTAGGGCTTGCCAACAGCAGCTTGCTCACTGCAGATATCTTAGATTGGCTGGCTTTTGGTGAAGCGCCTGAAGACTGGGAAATGCCCGAGTTTGTCGGCGACGATACTGCGCTGCGGCTGAGGCTCCGCCCAGCCCTAGGCATGGTGCTGTCTTTTCCAGGGCTCATTTTGGAGCTTACTGAAGAGAGACTTTCTGCCCTTTCCAATGACAAGCAGTCATAGTGGCTCACCGTGGACCTTCCCAGGGAATTGGTCCTGCTGGCTAGCTGCTCAAGTTTGGCACTAAATAACTTGCTACTGCTGCTGCTGCCGGTGTCAATGCTAGAGCCCTTCTGTTTGCCATTCACCTCATCAGGGAAGCTGGCTAGAAAAGAGGCTGGTTGGTTGGATGGGCTACTGGTGGTGCTGCTACAAGCACTGTGCTGAGGGCTAGCCCTGTTCTTCTGATCCAGGCTTGATTTTCTAACAGGGGGCAGTGGAGGGGTCCCTTTGGGGCGAGTGAGAACGCAATGCTTGGGGGAAGCGATTTTCCTTTCCAGGGTAGCTTTAGAAGACTGGGAGTGAACAGGAGAAATGACTCCATTGTTCTCAGCAACACAGTGAGAGAGAGCGCCATCGTGTTCGTCCTGCTTGCTGTTCTTCTGGAGCCCCCGAGGGAGGCTGCCATTCTTTGTGCCGTCAGAGGAATGAACGGGGCTCTGGGTTGCAGAACTGGGCAGCGCCATTTCACAACCATCTACAATCCTCCTTAGATTGTCAGATCCTGGAGAGCTAGAGGTTTCCCCACTGCTGCTGCTAAACCTGTCATCTGAGTTCTGCTGCTTACTGTGCTCAGGCTTGGCTGGACCCAAGCCAACTTCAGGCCTTGGCTCATCACTGCTACCACTGTTCTCTTTCTTCACATCATCCTCCCTCTTCAGCCACGGGTCTTCAAATGTGATATCCTTCCTCTCACTGGATTCTTTCCCTTCTTGAGGATAAGCAACTTTTGCGGTTGGAGTTACACTTGTTAGGCCATCAGCAGTCTCTTGGCCCTTGAAAGAATTAACAGCAATACATGGATAAACAGTAATGTTGGTTTTCATTGGGATGTAGCCTTCATAGCTACTAAGGTTTGCCGTGTTTTTAATTGTGACAGTAGTTTTCCCCAGAGCTGATATTTTGCAGCCTTTAATAGGTGGCACTTTATTGAAAGCTTCCTCCCCCATTTCTGACAGTATGAGCAAATTGTCGGCCACTGGATTCTGCTGGTCATTTACACAAATCATGCTACTATTTGGTATGGCATTTGACAACTCAGAGATGGGGGGATCTGCCATTGCTTCACCATGCCCATAGCATGCCTGGGCTATGAAACTGTGGCACGATTGTTCACCGTCACTCCCTGTGCTCATTTCACTCAGCCACGAGCTAATGGATGATCGTCTGCTGCAATCATCCCTGCACTTGTCATCTAGTCCCAATTTTGGAAGTGGCAGGAACTGTGTTATGCTGACCTCAGAAACAGGAGCTGAATTAGAGTAACACTCCAGGTCTTCGCTGATGCTACTGATGATACTAACTGGCCTAGACCCAGAGGCCAAAGCCTGCACAGAACAGTCACTGTTAAAGCTGATGATGCTGGTTGGGCGTCCATTGTCAAGGACCCCACTGATAGTTAGTTCTTCAACAAGTGTAAACACCAGCTCATCCTCTCCATTTAGCTCCAATGGCTGCTGTACCGTGACCATCGTGGTGCTCAGAATCTCTTTCTTTGACTCTGGTGCAAAGTTTTGTTGCTGTTCTTCTTCAAGAACAGTCTCTCCAAAATCCCCACTACTAGTGGACACTGACTTTTTCATGATCTGAGGGCTCATTCCCACTGGAGGCGTTCGGATCTCTGGTTGCAACAAAGACTCACTAGATGCCATCCCAGAGTCTTTGTTCAGGGGTGCAGGTGGTGGAGCAGAGTTGGGCAATACTCCTTTCTGGGTGTAGACCTTGCATCTCTGGGAGGGAGAAGTTGGTGGCTTGTATTCTGAGGTCTTGGAGAGGCTTGCAATGCCGAGCCGTGGTGAACCCATTGGCCTAGGTTTGCCTTCAACAAAGCCACAGGTGTTGAGACCTTCTCTACTACTCTGTAGGCTTGTGCTCTGTGCTAATTGGGAAGAGCTGCCAGTGACACTCCTAGGAGAAGGAGGAGTTGAAACATTAGTAAGAGCTCCAGAAGGAACAGGGGATGGATTTCTCTGAATCTTGCTGATTGTGGCATTGATAGTTTCTCTCGCTTCCTTATCTGATTGCTGACAGTCTGGTATGGCGTCTTCCTTATCTGATTCAGATAAGTGACTGAGCTCTGCCATTTGGCCTGGGAGAGGGCACTTAGAAACCTGGTCGGCACTAAATTGAGCAGGCAGCTCTTCAAAGGGAAATGTGCTGGTCTCCTCACTGCCATCAATGCAGTCCAGCCTCTCCTGAAGCTCAGCAAAGGTGTTGCACTTCAGACAGTCTCTTTCAGATGTGCCAGGGTCTGTCTCACTTACTTCCTCCAACTTGCCATCATTTTTGGTTTTCTGCAGAGCAGGAACTATGGGGACAAAATCTGGTGGACCCTCATTATCTGTCAGCTCCTTATCAGAGAGGGCTGTGCCATTAGGACCAACATAGATCACAGTGTCACAGGACTGTTCACTGCTTGAAGAATAATCGGGATCACTTGATAAATGGAGGATAGGAAAATCTGGGTCAACTACATTTCTTGAGTGGAAAGGCCTCAACTGAGTGGGTCGCCGCATTCTGCCTTCTTCACAGGAGCTTTCACCACCAGAAGAACTTGATGTGTACTGTGGTGAGAAAATAAATGTCAGCACTATGGACACGTTCCACACAGCACATCTACAACAGAATCACAACTACCATTGAGCCTTGAATGCATGGCATAACATACTAATGCAAACTAATACGTACCTACTACCACACTAGGTGAAACATTATTACAACCTTGGGGGACAGGTAATTAAGTAAATTAGTTATGTTGTATATCTGGTTAACTCACAGAACTTAAACTTGGGAATTGGGTATTATCCTTTCTGATTTTTAACATTTGGAAACTGAGACACTCAGAGTTTAACCATCTTGCCACCAGAGGAAATAGCAGTGAACAAATGGCAGTGTTCACAACAAAAATCAAGTGTCTTGACTCTTGGTGTTTTATGAAAACCAGTTGGCCATGTAACCTGCAGTGAACCCACTGGATGATTGAGTTAGAACATTTCACTGGATCTCATTTGACCAACATAACTAGGTGGCTGTTGAAGACCTTACCTAAGAAGCCTATGTTGTGAAACGAGTTCACATTCACTACACAAATGAGGCACACAAGACAAGGAAAATCCTGTTTTTATCATGATAAGGCATGTAGCTGGTGCAGTAGTAGCTGGCCTGTGCTTTCTATGGCCAGATTTCTGGACAAGATACAAACAGAATTGGTTGCAGATCATATTTAACAGTAATCCATAGACCATCAGTTTAAAATATGGTCAGAAAACCTGTCAGTTAAACCAAGTTAATAATTGGCTATAAAAGGAAGTAGGCCCCTGGAAGCAAAGAGATCACCACCATTAATCTCCTTTAAAAAATTCTACTAGATTTATGAAGAAACAGCAGGACTAGTGTGTCTGTGTGGGTTGAGACTTTCCGTGCCTTATCTGTCTATGAGGAAAAATGGGGAATCTGATTCTTCATTTATTTTCATTTCCTTTCATTCTAAAAGTAGTAACATTTATTACTGTTTTAATTTAACTGAAAAAGTGCCTTCCCAGACACACACACTTCTAAATGTTAAGCTTAGAAACCTATTATAGTTTTTTGAAGTCTCTTCTCTATCTCAAGTTGAAGCATTTATTCCCTCAGTCTCTGTTACAAGCTTTAAACCACTCATCTAGCACAAAATACATGTAACCCATACCCTTAGGAATTATGATTATTGATTTTGTTATCTGCTGCTCTTTAAGACCGACCTATCTCATTAAGGGCTCCTTTTTCCCCACTAGAAGAAGACAAAGAGTTATACATCTTCTTACCTTAGTTTTCTTTTTCTTCATCCTCAGGACTCTGGATGCAATCTGGATGGTGGACAGTGTTTCAGCATAGTTCCCTGCAGCTGCCGAAATGTGAGCTATCATAGTGGTACGGCAGTTCATATTCCCCAGGGACTCCCTGAGCAACATGGTGAGCTTGCTGTCTCTGCAAAATAAAATGAATTAAGGCTACATTAGGGAGCTACGTTTCACTTTGACTGTCGTGATGTGACTTCGGGTCTCAGCAAGGTTTTTTTTTTTTCTTTTTAATGGAATCCTAATTACTATCATACTACAAGTTTGTATTATGTTATGTCTGAAGCTAAGCAAGCTGAGAAACCCTTCGCCTAAAATTGGAACTTCTTTCCTTTTTTTTCGCAATTCCTCCTTCCTGTCTTTTTTTCTAATTCCCCAAGCAGTTTTGCCACAGCTAAGATAGAAGAGAAAGGAGAAACTGCATCTTAGAGTAGCTCTCAGGAAACACAGTAGTCAAAAGCAAACAGCTACCCATTTTCCTCCCAGTCAGTATATGCAGCATACAGACAAACTGTGGTGTGGCATTTGAGGAGGAGATTAGATTAGACTAATGCCCCGATTGTTCTCTCAGCACTAGGGTATTGGGGTAATTCAAGACTAACCAGCGAGGTCAGTGGAGTTGAACCAGGATAAGAGTGGTGGAAATCAGAAAACAATTGAACTTTAAGAGTCTACACCGCTGTTCGTCTATGTTAGATCAAACAAGCCTGCAATCTGCTTGCAGCAAATTTTGTTTCTCGCTATTCACGCCCTGATGAAATAGTTTGGTGCCTACAAAAACTTATGCCTTTCTGAACTAGTTAGTGTCTAAAGGGCCACCCTAACCTGCCTTCTCTCTAAATACTCTGGGGTTTGACATTCTGATACTTTATTGCTTACAGGGAGAACAGAAAATTGTAAATATGGTGATTTAAAAGGGAAAGGTTGCAAATATAATCCTTTGCTCATTAATGACTTGATATTGCAATCAATGGTATACTTCCAAAAGCTTTAAGGGGGGACTCCTGACTGCAGGGGCCAGGTCACATATGGTAATGAACTGGGTGCACAGCTAGGAAATAGAATCCCTTTTGGGTTTTGAAGTGAGAAAGTCTATCCTGACTGGTGGAGGTCTCCCACAGCTGGGAGGCAAGAGAGTTTCCCAAGCAAGGATGTGAGCAGTCAGTCACCCATGTGCAGAGGTGAGTCACCCATGAGTGGTGAAACATCTCTGTGGCTGCGTGTACATGAACACTGAACTGTGAAGTTGTTACTGTGCAGTCATTTATAGTTTCACAGTTGGTAGGGTCGGAAGGGACCTGAGCAGATCATCAAGTCCGACCCCCTGCCATTGCAGGAAAAA